AATGGAAACGCAGCACCTGGGGAAAGGTGAGGGCCCGGGTCCTCACGACCAACTGCTCAGCAGAAACGACACTGGGAGGAGAGCGTGTGTCCCGAAGTGCTGAGCCACACGGCTTAGACCTGGGGTGAAGGAACGGGAATCATCCGGCACAAAGCACTCTAGCCAGGCCTTTCTTAACAAAAGGAGAGGATCTCAGAGAGGCTTCTCCTCCGAGAACATGAGAACATGGCATGTGGGGCTGGGCCTGCTTCCAGGAAGGTGTGCACAGTGGCCGCACCTGTGAAGTCCCAGTGACTGTGGTGCTCTAGAGGCCTAGGGACAAGCCAAGGCTGGGATTTCTCATGAGTCGTCTTGGCATCTTGAGATGCCTGGTAGACCTGAGACTAAATTTAGATCCCTAGACTTTAATTTACAGCTCACAGATAGACTGACCACATTTCAACTTCTTACACCCCCTAAAATAAAGGCTTCTCTAGCTCTGTGCTACTGTTTCTGCCCTGTCATAAAGGAAAATGTCTCAAGTTGGATCTGCCTTCCTGTCGCTGCAGAGCTTTGCCCCTTTGGGAATTTGGAACTGTGGAGAGAGCCGCCACGGCTTCCCGTGCCTAAACCCTGCTGCTCCTCTCGACCTCCCATTTGAAACACAGTGCGCGGCCTTGGCTTCTCCACCCCGATTCCCGGCAACCCCCAGCGGGTCGGTGTCCTGGAGAATGGCCTTCCAGGCAAGGGCAGCACCCCCTGCAGCCAGAAGGCCACCTGAGCCTCATTCTCCAAGGCTGCTGGAGGGCACACTTGTGGCACAAAGCGACATGTGTGTCCCTGGAGCCTCTTGCCCAGTCTTGAACTCCGGGGTGCTGACAGGAAGAAGAGCATTTCTGTGTCAGGAGCTGGTGCCCGCTGGTCACTGCCGTTGGCTCCCATGGAGCTAGCTTGTAGTTGACCCAGGTAGTCAGACCCTCCCCGGGAGCTGCCTGGAACATCCTTCCTGTCTTTACACCCATGGTTGTGTCAGGTGCTGCTTCTGAGAAATTAATTGAGGTGTCCTTTAAAATATGTAGCCCTAGTCATGGGCTGGGGATGTGACTGTTCCAGCCCAGGTGCACCAAGCTTGGGTCTCAGGCCTCAGAACCGAGGGGCGCCTTGGGCTTCTGTGGTTCTCACAATAAAATGTGGCCCCTTGGGGGGAGCTGCAGGCGCCTTCCAGCTTCTGGAGGAGGCTCACGACCTTCATCTGTAAACGAGTTATTTGCTGTTTACTCTTCAGGCGAGAATAGTTACTGACCCCAGCAGCTGAGTCAGGGATTCGTTTTTCCTACAAACAGGATTCCGGGGCAGGTGGCAGTGAGCGCCGAGGCCGTGGTGAGCAGCGTCACTCACAGCAGGGACGTGCTCATCAGTATTTCCTCTCCTCGGCAGGAGCCTTTGAAGTTGGGGTTTGGTTTGTTGATTTCTAAATCTTCTAAATCTCGAAGAGTAGTAAACATTGGGACACCAGAACCCAGGATACTTCTCTTGGACTGAACTGAGCTTAGGTCACTTATTTAGCCAGTGACTTGAGTGCTGTGTGCCCTGAGATGAAAAGCGGGACACACAGCAGAATTCAGCACTCGGAGTGATCCTAAACGTGTTTTTCAGGGCAAATAATTATTCACATCTTGTTATAAGCACATGACTTCTGATGTTTATTAAAACCACAAAACTAAGCCCTGAGAAGCAAAATACAAAGGACTGAAGATAAAATTTGAGAATAAAATGAGAAACCAGATCTCTTCAGACGTGAACCAAAGGAGCCCGCGTTTCTCAGCAGACAGGAGCAGCACAGGAGGCGGCTTGTCGACATTTCATCCATTTGGCGCTGGAATGGCCAGATCTACTTTTTACTTTTTCTTGGGTTTTGTAATACTTGGCTCATGATAAAGGGACTTTTCAGCGTTCGTTTATACCACTGGGCTGGGGGAACACTGCTCACATGATCCACATAATTACTTTTCCATCTTTCAGTCCTTTAACCCTCTCTCGCCTGGTATGGTGGGGTGCACTGGCCTGAGGAAGCTTTGCGTGCTGGTGCACACAGCCAGCGCAGACAGCTGTCCACACGCACAGATGCACAGAACGAGTGCTTTTTGTGAGCTGGGGTGTGAGGCCATTCACTTCTCTTTTAAAAGAGATTGATTTATCTAACTTTGCAGAAGTCAAAGAAAAATATTAAAAAAACCCATACTAGTTGAAAGAAGGAAGGAAGGGAGAGAGAACGGGAGGGGAGAGAAATGAATGGGAGGCTTGTGTATCCTGAAATGGTATTTTTTACTTGCAGCTCTGATCAAAGGCCTGTCGTTCCTTCATCGAGGTCCAGGTTTGCCTTCTCTGTGTCTGTGCTGGACCTTGACCTCAAGCCCTACGAGAGCATTCCGCATCAGTATAAACTGGACGGCAAGATCGTCAACTATTATTCAAAGACTGTATGTGCCAAAGACAATGCCGTGATGTCGACTCGGTTCAAGGAAAGCGAAGATTGCACGTTAGTTCTCCACAAGGTCTAACCCTTTCCCTGCAGTGTCTTTGAAACTTGAACACAGAATGTGAAGGTTGAATGATAGAGCTATTTTCTGTTGTGTTGGGTGAGCTTTGGTTGTGAATGTTTTTGCTTTTAACCCCTGTTGAGGTGGGATTGCCTCTTGGAGACATGGAATTGAAGAGCACTGGGAACATCTTCCTGGACAAGGAATGTAGGACATGCTGTGTCCCAGGAAGCTGCTCACACTCTTAATATGGAAGTGTCCGTTAAGCCCTGGGAAGACCTTCTGGATAGATCTTCCTTCCCAACCAGGGCTCATGTCTGATTCTCTAATGCTAAAAGCCTTATTCTAAGACCCAAGGTTTGGATCTGCTACCACCAGACTCCTAACATAGAAAACTTGAATTGTCACATACATTTTACAGTTTGAACTTTTAAGAAAACATGGATACTACTGGAACTTTCCCCAGCTGAGTTACATGGTCACTTTTCAGTGCAAGCCACATATCAACACAGGTTTTTAGGTGGTTCCCTGCTGCAGAGCGTGACCTCGTGGTCGTGCAGACGCCGGTTCTGAGCAGTGTAGACTCAGGGTCCCTGTGGAGGTGCTGAAGCCCGTGGTTCCACACGGGGCAGCAGGGAGCGCAAGACTCAGGTCAGGATGGACACCACTCATGCGAGCATTGACCTTTTTTTTTTTTTTGCTTTACAATTTAATCTTTCACATGAGGGGGATATGAGTTGTTCTTTCCCACTAAAAATTGCTGCTGTAGAAGTTGGAGGTGGAGCTGTGACTGGCTGGGCTGCTGGGGCCGGGCTGGGATGTGTGCCCCAACAGCTCAGTGCTTTCCTGACACTCCAGTGTCTGGGCTGGTTGAGGAACGAGTTCTCTCTTCCTCCCGGACCGAGTTCCTCCCTCGGGTTTGCCTTGAGACGCATTGAGTTTTTGGGCCCCGTGGCCTCTCCCTGTCAGGCTGCCACAGGCCCTGCTTCCGGAAGGTGAACAGCTCCTGGCTGCTGCCGAGAGGGTTCTCGTTGGGGTCACCAAAGTGTGCCCGGCTGCTATGAAAAACGTTGGGAATCTTGGTTTCAGTTTTTTATTCTATGCTAGGTTGTACAGACTTATTTATATCATCGTTTTGAGGGACTAATGGAGGCTTATTGTAACATATAATATTAGCGAAACCATGGAATTATATGAAAATTATACATGAGAAATAAGGAAACTATTTTGCTGATTGTAAATTTTTGTGGGAAATTTTGTGATAACTTGAGAATTATACTTGTTTGAATCAAGGCAACTCTTCTAGAATTTATTGTTCAATTCTGTCATATTCTAATTCTACACTCAGAGGTGCAAAAAGATACTTACACAACTGGACACTTTTACTGTTTGCTTCTCACTTCAAATGACACCGTCTCATACACACGGGTCCTGTGTGCCGGGATGGGGGCTTTGGAGACTCACCTAAGTGAAGTGCATGGAGCTCACAGACGGGCCACAGGCTCTGGGAAGTGTGGAGGGAGTGGCTGTGAGTACTGTCTTGACCCAAGGGAGTTCACTGTTGCTGGGCTGGGGCTGGGGCAGCCTCGTTTGGGATGATTTTGCCCAGTGTCATGGTGTGTGGAGGATGCTGGGTCCTGGGTTCAAGTGCACATGAGAGGGAACCCCAGTCCATGGGAAGGTGGGCTGGGCTCCCGAGGTCCTTCAGGGCTGCAAGAGTTATTGCCTAGCACAGGGCCCAGACAGGGCTGGACTAGACACAGTGAAAACAGCCTGTATTTGAGGGAGAAAACAGGTGGACCCCCACTCTGTCTGGTCTTGGCTCCCACCAGCCCGGGCTGTGAGGAGCCCCTGAGCAGTGGGTGCCACTGCTGTGGATGCGTTTCTGGCATGTTCTGGAAACTGCTGTTGCTGTGTAGTCATGGCAGCCCTGATTGGTTTGAGACAACACGTGTTCACAGATACTAACAAACAATGCTAAATGGGCGACTGATGATGAGGTCACGGTTCTTATGGCACATCCGGGACGATCAGTGTAGCACTTAGGCTCTGCAGGGGGGTCTCTCATAAAGGACCTCATTCCTCACGCCCTGGCCCAGGAACAGTGCTGTCTTTGCTGTCTTAGGCCATTCTTGTTACTAAGCTGACAGCTCCACTTTCTTGTGGAAGACCAAGAACAGTGTGAGGATTTGCCGAGACTGCCTCTCAGTGCCACTGTGCGGACCTGGGGGAGGTAGGGAGCGTGGGCGTGGCTCCCCTGGGCTGCTAAGGACAGTTTAAAAATGAGGTGCCACAGGCATCCATCTCCAGAGCCCCCAGGAGGCAGGAACCAGGATAAGGGTGGCTTCTCCCAGCTGAGCAATGTGGCCGCCATGTCCAAGGTGGACTCGGTGTGAGGCCACGGTGGGTGGGGGGATGGGTCCTCCCCACACATCTGAGGACACACGACCACTTGGTACATTCTCTCAGATGTTAAGCTTATTTTTATAAACCACATTGTACATGTCACTTTTATTTGGCATTTTATACTTAACTAGCTGTATTTATTTTTCATGTCATCAGAATTTCCATATAATGTGCCATAACTGCATAGACAGCATGTCTTCAGGTTGTGGTTCTAAGTGGAAAATAGCAAATGTTTATATTCAATAAAATTGCATGCTCCTCCGCGCAGCATCTTAACCCTCCCGTTCACTGTTTTAGAACTAGTTGTTCTCCTCTGCACAAAGCGATTTTATCAAGCTTTCCAGAGCAGCTTCGATTCCAAGCACTCCGAGCAGGGTTCGGAAGCTGAGAGGAGCGGCTTCTATGGCTCTGTTCTTGTCCAGCTCCAGGGCTAGAAAGAAAACGTTAAACCGGGTAAGAAACTTCAAGGTGGCAGCTTTTGGTTTTTGTTTTCTGCTGGCATGGACCTCACCAAGACCCTGCCCTCCTCCTGACGGGCTGCATGGGATGGGACGTGCTAGTGGCGGGCAAGGAGATGGCGTGCGTGGAGGCCTCACCCGATGGCTGGAGGCACATTCCCTGTGCATTCAGCCCGGGAGGGCTTTGGGGCAGCAATCCTTCTCACGTTCAGCAATCCCTTCTCATGTTCTTTTTGAGTGATTATTGGTAAAAATATTTAAAAATTGATAGACAAAGTACATTAATGAGATTTCCAATTTTTGATTCTTGCCCTTTGAAACCCAGAGGAAATAGGCAGGTGGCTTTGCTGGGCATGTTGAGAAGTCACCTAGAGCAGCCACACCCAGGGACCTACCTCGCTGTGGGACTTTGGTGAGAAGATCCAGCTTTGGAAAAACCTTCCCGTCTTCATCTATTTGTATCCTCCAAACAATGACTAATTCAAACCTGAAAAAGCGATAAAACATGTCATTCTGTGCTTTTTGAAATCTGGCAAAAAGATGAGCAACCATGAGTTGTTCCTGGTGTCCATTTCCCCATGCTGGGCTCCCCTGCTCCTAGCAACCGTGGCCCACAGCGAAGAAGAGGCATGGTCAGTAGCACAGGCAGATGGAACCAGGACCACAGGACGGTGCTGCTCTGTCCGCACTGCATTGGCAAACATCAGTAGACCAGCGAAGTACAGAACACGAAGCAACAGAAACTTCAAAATTACTGGTGGGAGCAGACATGGACAAGCCACTTTGGAAATAATCTGGCACTGACAGAAAGCTGAACATGCACCCAGGAATTTCATTTCTAGGCAGTTGAGCCCAGGAGAAGCTTGTGTAGTGTGTGCCAGGAGGTGTGAGCCAGAACAAGGACGCCACATGCTCCAGAGCTGAAGAGCGCAGCAAGAGCCCGTGCATGATCCCCTCTGGGAGGATGAGCAGCCAAACTGCACTGCAGCTGCTCATGACCCTGGAGGAGGTGAGGGTGACAAAGGCAAGTCCCAGAAGCCTGCCTAAGGACCACACGATTTTAAAGCTTGGAAACCAGTTGAGTTGAGGCCTTCACACACAGGTCATAAAAGCACACCCAGATGGACACATGTCCACACATGCACAGCCAAGGGAAGAGGATGGAGAACACAGCACAGGCCAGGGTGGCGCCGGGGCTGGTGGAGGGATGGGCTGTGCTGTCAGGGCCCTGAGCCTGTCTTGTTTCTTCTCACTGCTTTGGGGTTTTCCACTCACCCCTGGCTTCTTCCCTTCGATTTCTAAGTAACAGCAGATCCACAAGCATCTCCACTTTCTCCAAGCCTCCCTTCCTTGATCCCATAAGTCCTGGGGCGGGCCCCAGGACTGGCATTTTCCCCCTGCGGCCCAGCACATCCTCCAGAGCTCCAGCTGCCTGCACCCCCACGCTGGGCATACCTGCTGGGACCACTGATTCCTCCAACCGAGGACCTTTAGTTCTTGGTTAGGTGGTTTACTACTTAGAGTCCTACTTAGGTGGTCTCCTGCTTAGAATCCTTGTTTCAACAGGAAATGGGAGGCCCTGTGGCCTGCACAGACTCACCCTGGCCGGCTGGCACTGCGGATCCCCATGGAGCAGGAGGAGGGCCCCTCCGAGAGGTACACGGCATCTGGGTACTTTTCCTGCATGGGGAGAAGAAACGGTTACAGACAGATCCACTGGTGAGGAGAAAGGGGCCGTGGGAGGGGCACGGGGCGCCGTTCCAGGTGTCCAGTGAAAATCGGGGTCCAAGTGTTCACACAGCACCCACGGGCGCCGACTGCCCCTCCTGCCCTTGCTGTCACACGTCTGCCCCACTGTAGGTCTCTCCACAACCTCCAGGCTCCCATGACTGCTGCTTCCCCAGCATGAACATGGTACACAACCACCCTACAGCTGCATTCTCATCTCACAGGTTTCCCCACAACCCTTCCACCTGGGATGGCTCCTTGCTCTACCCTTGTCCGTCACAACCTGGATGGTCTGGGGAGGACTGGTCAGAGGATTCCCAAGTGGAGGCGCCAGGCTCCTTGCTGGAAAGCAGCTGTTTTTTGCAGGGTTTTAGCATCTGACCTGAAAAGCCCTTTGAGCTGAGGCTCCGTGAGGGCTGTGGCCGGGCCTGGACGCCCCTCGCCTGTCCATCCTCAGGACTCACCCCAGTGGCGCCCAGCCCACACACCGTCCTGGGCATGGGCAGGAGCCCACTCTGGTACCCTCACTGTGCCCAGTGGTGGCGCAGCTCCCACTGCAGTAAGGGAAAGGCCCTGCCTTAGTGAAAGCTTCATGATGAGATGGCATTTTATTGTCAAAAGCCTCCTCCTGAAAGCAGGGAGATCGAGTGGAATCTCTCAGATTTCTAGGCTTGCAGTTCTGGGAGAGTCTGGTTTCCCCCATGGGCTGTGAAATTCTGGACACGTCTGCTTGTTTCTGTTACTTACAGCAGGACCCGGTAGCCTCTAGCTCTACCAGAACCGACCCGCGAATTTAGATCAAACCACAACAGTTTGCTTACTGGAACCTGAACAGATGATACATATTCAAAACTGATAAAAGTAATGGTGGCCGTATTCTCTCAGTTCTTAAAAACTTGTCTTTCTGGGCTGGGTGCGGTGGCTCACGCCTGTAATCCCAGCACTTTAGGAGGCTGAGGTGGGCGGATCACGAGGTCAAGAGATTGAGACCATCCTGGCCAACATAGTGAAACCCTGTCTCTAGTAAAAATACAAAAATTAGCCGGGCCTGGTGGCATGCGCCAGTAGTCCCAGCTACTCAGGAGGCTGAGGCAAGAGAATCGCTTGAACCTGTGAGGTGGAGGTTGCAGTGAGCCAAGACTGTACCACTGCCCTCCAGCCTGGGCGACAGAGCGAAACTCCGTCTCAAACAAACAAAACGTGTGTTTTTGGCTGGGTGCGGTGGGCGGCTCACACCTGTAATCCCGGCACTTTGGGAGGCCAAGGAGGGCGGACCACCTGAGGTCAGGAGTTCAAGACCAGCCTGGCCAACATGGTGAAAGCCAGTCTCTACTAAAGATAAAAAAAAATTAGCTGGGCGTGGTGGTGGGCGCCTGTAATCCCAGCTACTTGGGAGGCTGAGGCAGGAGAATCCCTTGAACCCAGGAGGCAGAGGCTGCAGGGAGCCGAGATCACGCCACTGCACTCCATCCAGCCTGGGCGATGAGCGAAACTGCATCTCAGAAACAAAAACAAAAACACACACACGAAAAAACTTGTCTTTTTGTCTGCTCTTGTGAGAACAGCTTGCAGGGTCGGGGTGACAGGAGACTTTCACGGCAGGCTCCGCGTGAGAGGTCGAGGTCCTAGGGCCAGTCTGCCAGACATGCTTTCCTTTCTGTCCTCTCACAGCGACTGATGTAGAAAGGGCAGCCTGGGGGTGCTGCTTAAGTCCCATGCAAGCCCTGCCATGATTAAAAAGCACTGTGGCCTCCCCAGGCCTTAGGGAAGGATAGTGAGGGGAGGTTTCCCCTGAGAAGCATCCGGCCTGACAGCTAGTCCGAGGACACAAGGCAAGGGAGCAGGCTGGAACTGCAGTGACAGCGCCTTCCTGCTGCTCCAGAGACTTGCCGGATTGAACCAGATCGGCTCTGCTGAATGGGGTTGTGTGGGGACAACGGTGTGACCGAGTTTTTAAAAGCAGCAGCCCCTGCATCGCTGAGCTCTCGCCAGTGTGGGAGGCCCTCACCCTGCGCGTGTGGGCCTAACACAGCGAAGGCGCGTCGCAGCACCATCTGCACCCACCACAGGCTGAGAGGGGCCTGGCGGAAGCTTACAATTACTAACTTCAGCACAACAGTTTCCATAAGAAAATGTATACCTAAGTGATTTAAGTGGAAAGTGTTGGTTGATTTTTAAACCGCAGCCTCTTCCAAATTAATCACAACTGCTTGAGGACCGTAAGGGAGAGCCTGTGAACGTGGCAGCTCAGCTTCCAGGCTGGCTCAGCGGCAGCACTTGGGACGCGTTGGAACGGCTGGGGCCTGGGCCAGCTCCAACGTGGGGCCCAAGGCTCAGCCTCCAAGCACAAGGGAGCAGATGGAGCAGCTCTCTGCCTCCCTGGGCCTCTCCTCACCTCTCCTTGTGAGCAAAAAGGGGTTTAAATGAGATGCTTTCACTAAAAAATTAAAGTGTACCTTACTCCCTTTAGTTTGTAAAAGAAAGTCAGGTAGAAACGCTGACATTAGGAAGAGGTCAGGCACACAGTGCATGTTTCTGGAGGGCTTTTGTGGGACTGTGTGCAAAGGTTCTTTTGTGGAAGTTAATGCCCCATTCGTTTAGCCAAGGTCACGGTCACTGATAACTTGAAATAGAAAGGATGGGTCTCATTGGCAGACGTGTACAGGTGGGGAGAGAGGATGGAAAAGCTGTGAACAGGGGTACACTAGTTATATACAACTCAAGACAGCGTGGGCTTGAGGTCATTAGGCCTAAAGTCAGCACATCTCATCAGCAGTCGAGTTTTATAAATGACTGTATTTGACGTGGATAGAAGATGACCAAATTGGCAAGAAAGAGTTAAGGCAAACATGCGCTGATGAGGAAGAGGTATGTACCATATATTTTTGAATGCTTTCCATGACAAATAGTTACACAAAAACAGTGAATTGGAAAATCATAAGCCTTATCTGGAAAGCTCCTTAGATGTGTCACGTTTAAAACCGAGGCCCAGAGAAGGAAGGCACCTGGCTGAGCCCCCGTGGGACAGTCTTGGACCTGTGGCTCTTCCGAGTGCATCTGAGGGACCTGCACAGCCCTGAGAGTTCTGGCTTATACGGGAAATGAGCAGGACGCCTGTGCTTCCGTGGATATTGTCAGGAAGGTGGTGATGTAGGGGTGGCTGTTGGGAGGGGACCTCGTCGTGCACACTAACTGGTTGGCAGGCACTGGCGCTTCCCCTCTGGAGCCCCCAGCCTTCCATGGGAAAGCTGGTCTTAAGCTGGAAATGCTGAGGCAGCGATTCAAGTGGTGTTTGTTCAGCTGGTTGCCGTATGTGGGGAGTCTGCATTTGAGAGCTCTCCTGATGTTATGATAGAAAGATGGCGGCTGTGAGAATGTTGGCAATTTGATATCCAGCCCCAGTTTTACACCTGAGACCCGCTGTGCTGTTGCAATAGCTGCCGGATGCTAGTCCAAAGGGAATACAATTTTTAGCAGAGCTTTACAGAAAACCAACCTTGTATTATATTTCAGTGCAATACCAAAGAGGAATGCTATGTCTCCCACTTAAACAAATGGGAAAACTTGAATCCTGAGTTTAAGTCTACCCTGGAGTGTCCACAGATACGTTAACTCATCTTGACTTTAATATTTTCCCAAAAATTATGTCTGGCCGATTCAGTGACTTTTAAAGAACTGAGATAAATTCATATAAATTATATGAGACATAATTCCTTTAAAGTGTGTAATTCAGTGGGTACTAGTATACTCACAAGGTGGTGCAACCATCACCACTTTCTAATTCCACAACATTTCATCACCCCCTAATGGACCCTTTAGCTATTGCCCCTAGTCCCCTTCACCCACCCTCCCAGTACAGCCGTAAGCAACCACCCAGGCTACTTTATGTCTTGCTTTCATTTGTATTTTAGTAACATTTTCTGTTTTGAAAGATACTCTGGTCTATTGAGAGATGACATCAGTGAGGTTACACCGTGGCATAAAATGCTGGCAAAACTCACCCTAGACTCCTCAGTAACTGGCACTGGGCCAACTGGATATCCACATGATAAAAAAATGAACTTCAATGCTTACTGCACACCAAATACAAAAATTTATTCTAATGAATCATAGAAATGTAAGGGCTAAAACTATAAAACTTCTCTATTCAAGACATTTCATACAAATGGAATTATATATGGTCTTTTATGTGCCACATTTTGTTTATCCAATGATCAACTAACAGACTTTTGGGTGGTTTTTACTTTTTGGTATTTGATTTTTTTTAAAAAAAATATTATTATTATTATCATTATTTTGAGAACGAGTCTTGCTCTGTCGCCCAGGCTGGAGTGCAGTGGTGCGATCTTGGCTCACTGCAGCCTTTGCCTCCTGGATTCAAGCAATTGTCCTGCCTCAGCTCCCTGGGTAGCTGGGACTACAGGCACTCCTGGGTTCAAGTGATTCTCCTGCCTCAGTCTCCCAAGTAGCTGGGACTACAGGTGCATGCCACCACACCTGGCTAATTTTTGTATTTTTAGTAGAAATGGCATTTCACCATGTTGGCCAGGATGGTCTCGATCTCCTGACCTCATGATCTGCCCGCCTTGGCCTCCCAAAGTGTTGGGATTACAGGCGTGAGCCACTGTGCCTTGCCCTTTTTGGCTTTTTGAAATAATGCTCATAGCATTACTGTTCATAACATTTGTGTATAAGTTTTGCACATACGTATTTTCATTTCCCTTGGTTATATATCTAGGAGTGGGATTTCTGGGTCATATAATAACTCTCCAACCATTGAGGAGTTGCCAAACTGTTTCCCACAGTGGCTGCACTGTTTTTATAATGCCATCAGCAGTGTATGAGAGTTCTGATTTCTCCATAGCCCCATCAACCCTTTGGCCGTGAGTTGGTATCTCATTGTGATTTTGATTTGTTTTTCTCTTATGTGCTTACTGGCCATTTGTATACCT